AATAGAGGCAGATCTGCTTTCGGAGAGTAACTGTTCCTTGGTGCCTTATAACAAATGTGTTTTAAAGTCGCAAATACAGCGTGTACGGGATACGTTTCTTTATTTAAACTGCTGAAGATTATGATCACACAGACGCTGGGTGGCTAGAGTGAAAAACCTGGGTGTGGAAATCTGAAACGATCATTCAACAGCAGATTCAGATTGTTCGGTGATGCGGAATAATATTGACAGATTTTTGCAATCCTGAAATAATTTAGGCTATAAATTGGACTAAGTTTAGGACACATCACTGTAGTAACGTAGCTGAAGTGTTAAAATTGAATGCTGTAGTAACTGACTAAAGAGCTTGTGCAACCATCGTTCGACTATTCCGGTGTATTTCATACGAGCACTGCTGTAGCGCTTGCGTTTCGCCGTTCTCATCTTATAAAAATGTTGTTACTTTAAACTCGACAGTAAGGAGGGCGTTCGACAAGCTGCTGGCATGATGAGGCTAGCAAAGCTTTTCTGAAACACGTTAGTCCAAGGAACCGTCGATTGTGATCTGCTACTTGGCTAAATCGCGTTCACAATCGCAATGCATTTTATCACTGTTCCAGGCCAAAACGACTTCACAAAGCCGCGTGCAAAGCATAGAGGTGCTTGTCTAGAGTTCCATGGCTGGAAGAGCTGCCTACCTAAATTTTCAATCGATGGAACTTGCTCGATTAACAAAATTAGAAAGAGTTTGTTGCAGCTGCTGTCTTGGCAACCCAGGTAAAAACTGTGCTATTAAAAATATGGACACATTCACAGATTGCTGTTACACGTAAATGTGAGCATACGCAGTGAGGTGGAGACAAACCTGCTGATGAAATCGCCTGAAATGCATTGGCTTCGGTAAACCAGCCGTCGTTGCAACGAAGTGTCAGTGTGTCCTAAGTTAAAGTAGCCGAAGTTCGTCATGAACTGCAAACCTATATTGTTAAAGAAAACTGCAGCACAAACCCTGATACGAAGTATCCTTTGCAGAGGGTTCATTAGGCATGCTCTTGCCTCGTGTTGCCTTGTCATTGAATTTAGAAAAATGGTGTGAACGGGAGTAAAACTTTGTCATTTCAATCCATGATTTATGGGGCCGCTTTTACTGCACTAGCTGTTGCGGTGGATCATTCTTTAATAGCAGACAATGCTGAACAAATACGAAAATGTGCGATTTATACACATTATGGTACAAACGGTTATAATAAGCTAGGCAGGTCGATCTTGACAGCCATTAGCCAAGTTGATTTCCACGTCTTTGCGGCTTGCCAGCGGCTGCCACGAATAATTCTGGTTTCTTTTGAGAGTATATATATATAAATATTCTAATTCGTTCGCACTAAGTTAAGTACACGCCAATGGATGACGAAGAGCGATGAGCGAGTGTCAAACGGCGCTTTAGGTAGCCGTTTTTTCACGGGCGAAGGGGTGGTAGTTTTAAAGGAGAGGTTCCATCTACCTGGAGATTTGCCGCCATTCATAGCATCGACAGTTTCCTTACTGTAGTTTCCTCGTCTTTGTGTGGCATCACCGGTTTGAAATAAACGCTATCCTCGGCTTTCAAGTACTTGTTGAACGGAATCTCTGAATGTCGTTTCATGAGCAACTTCATTTCCAAAGTCAGTTCCTCAAAATTTGGCCTGTCGCTGGCGCTACAGCACCAACACATTTTCATTATGTGATATCTGAAATAATAATAAAGTTAAAATATCATTATTTTAGAGCAATTTATGTAATGAACAGCATTAATGCAGATTCCGCATTTAATCTAGGGAAAAATCCCATTTAAGATGAGCAGATGTTTGAGTCGTGAATATTTTAAAGCACGTAGATATCTTCGTTACAACAATATCTGTTACTGTTGTAGCATTGTGTATGATTATCCTCTTAATGAGAATTTGAAAACTGGTTTTTGATTAGTTATGCTTTATTTAACAAGCGCGAGCGTTCGAACATATTTTGACGCTTGTGTAGTGGCATATAAGGAGTAGCAGCTCCAGAAACATCGTTCATGATGAGAGGTGGCTCTAACACACAGAATGATGCGAAGTGCATGTGGCATTGCAGGTGTTCAATTCCCATGGAGCCGAAGCCTGTTTGAATGGCGCCCTAGGCAGTTTGGAGGAAGGGAGCAGTCCAATACGCCGTGAAATCCGGTTTTTGAAGAGCATTTTAAAACAGTACATTTTTCACAGAATGAATACAGTTACAGGGCAAAGCTATGCATTAATCCAAAAAAACTAATCAGTTGGTGAAACTGATGATTAAAAATCTTAACAGTAAAGTTCTTGGTAGTCGTGTTTTCAAATTTATCATTTGATAAGATAGTAGATATAGTGATATAAGCGCAGGTACTATGGGTATTCTGCTAAAGAAATGTGTTTTGATGAAAATGGCATCCCTTGTTGACCTTGAATCTCATTCCTTTCTTTGTAAGAATTGTTCAGTGAATAAACACAGGATGAACCAGGGGTTGAGGGACCAACAGAATATATGGTAAATCAGAACGGTGGTGTTATATATTTTTCTCCTGCAGAGAATTGAGAGCCATATGCTGGATCATATTTCAGCCTCATTCTGAACAGTATTTTCTTTTAAGCTCTCTATGGCCTTATATTCGCATTCATTTTATGCCATAAATAATTTTGCCTCCAGTAGTCATATAGCAGTTATCCGCTATTGCTGTTGGTTATGGTTTTCCGGCTTCATCAGTTAGCGCATAATCGTAAGGAGACTACTGTTGGACCAACATAACGCTCTTAATGGTATTAATTACTTCATAGACGGAATCCTATCATGTAATTCGTAATTTTCAAAATTGCTTCTTTACAGATATTAATGCAGAAAGCATGTAGCGAAGTGTTGCTGTTTATAAACATGTACAGAAGCTTCATAACATTCTCGGGATGTTTTCCTAAATTAACTAATAGCATTACAAATAAACGTATCACAGAA